CAGAGAGCTACATGTAAAAGGCTTGGTCCCCAGAGTGGTGTGGTGGGCAGTGAAGGAGCCTGTGGAGATCTACTATCACTGGGGGTTGTATTTCCCAAAGCGAGCTGTAGGACCCTGGCCTATCTCATCTGTCTGCTTCCTAGCGGGAGATCTGAGCACTCACACTGGCATGCATCCTACCTCCAGGCAGCAGAGTGGCCCAGCTTAGACTTGAACCTTCCAAATCACATGCCAAAATAAACCTCTACTTCCTAGATGATCTATGTCTACTATTTTGCTATGGTGGCATAAAAGGACTAATGTACCTTCAATAACCTAGCTTTGCATATACACAGCTTAACTTCTGTTGCAGTTTTGGGTAGGATGGGGCAGTTGTCCCCAGTGTGTGCTAATTGTTTTCTTCTAGGGAGGAGTGGAGGGCTGTGGTGAGGTCTTGCCACTCACCTTAGGGCCTCTGTTCTTCCTTTTTCCTAAGTAACAACTCTGATATATAATTACGCTCCCAAGAGGTATATGACCATATCTCCACACTCATGAATACTGCCTGCCTGCTAACCATCCTCTCCCTCTTCCACATTAGCTGGACACACTATGGGCAAGCTACAACTATGGGATCTAGACTAAATTCTAGTGGATGGAGTGCGTGTGTGTGTGTGTGTGTGTGTGTGTGTGTGTGTGTGTGTAGGGGGGATGATATGGGCACTGGTGTAATTCTGTGAAGAACTGTTTCACCTACTTTCTTCTTTCCTCCTTCCTGATGTCTAGATCCATCTTGGATGGCAAGCTGAGAGCCATATGTTGAAGATAAGTCCTTGGTTCATCTGTGTGTGCCTGTCAATCAGCATTTCTGTAGATGTGTGTGGCCTTTAAGAAAACTACTCTTGTGTGATCCTGAGAAAGCCTCACCACCACGACAGGACAGTTCTCACAGAAGCCAGCAGGGGTTACCAGAAGTCATTTGCCTTTTCCAGATCAGGCAGGATTCTTAATGGATAACCTTCACTCCCATTTTCCTTAGTAATATAGGAAAGTTTAACTAAAAATCGATTTAGCTGGTGGACTTCTTTCGCAATCTCTTTCGCCGATAGCATGCCTGTGTGGTGCTAGTGGCCATGAACCTTCAATCAGGCTCTGACTGCAGCCCCTCCTTTGACCTGTCTTCTTTCTCCCAGCCTAATGTGTGTGGTAGCTGAAACTCTTGCAGCCAAGAACCTAGAACAGAGACCTGTGCTAAGGAAGGTGAGAGCCCGACACATAGGTACCTGAGACCCTGATGACTTAGAAGTCACTATGCCAGGCTTACATCACCTCCATTTCCTTTGTTTTTTTAAGATTTATTTTAGTTGTATGTGTGTGTACCACATGCTTACTGGTTCCCCTGGGAAGCATAAGATGTCAAATCCCTTGGAACTGGAGTTAGATGTAAGCTGCCTGGTGTAGGCACTAGGAACTGAAGTGGCTCGGGCAGTACATACTCCTGACCGATCAGCCATCTCTCCAGCCCCTAGCTTTCATTTCTTTAGGCCCGTATTTCCTGTTGTAGGCAGCTAAATCTAGTTCTTAGTCGCTTACAGTTTTAGTAGGAAGAGCCATACTTCAAATGAGCAGAGTGGGACAAAGCAGACCAACCTCAGTGCCACGTGGTCCCCACTCACTCAGCCTCTAAGGCTGCCGCTCAGCTTCCTTTAGGCCTAAGAAGTGAGAGATCCATGGTGAACACCAGGAAAAGGAAGCAACAGATTTCCTTCCACATATTAGATCATCTTCATAAGCTTCCAGAAGATACTACTATCCTGACCTCATAGACAGTGTTGGCAGGACCACTGTGTGATCCAGAGTGAGACTTACAAGACAATGCGCCCAGTGGAGACTCCAGCTCAGGCCATCACATCTAGATAATCTGTGCCACCAAGCTTGACCTCTGAGCCTCGGGGAAGAGAACATGGCACTTGATCCCTTAGCAGAAAGGGCCTCTCTAACCTCTGCTTCCAAACATAAACTCCCTGCCATTTGTCCAGGCTAGGCAAGTGTGCTGGGTAGAAAACAGGGCCAAGGACTCCCGGGTAGCAAACCACTTGGCGCTACACAATTCCCATCTGGAAGCCTGAAACCCTTATTTCTTTAAAATGAGGCTAATATTATGTTACATAAATTAGTTATGTAAACCTATATAAGTTAAGTATTTGCAGAACTTTATGAATTTGTTGATAAATGAATGTTCTATTTGTGTGAGAAAGAAGTCTGGTAGGATCCTGCACCACAGTGCAAATCTGATAAAGAACGGGCCACCTTGTCTGGCCTCAGTAGGAGAGGATGGACCTAGTCCTGGAGTGACTTGGTCCTTCGAGGGGATGAGGAGGAGATGGGGAGGATCTGCATGAGAGGTACTGGGAGCAGAGGGGAGGTTGATATTGGGATGTAAAGTGAATGAATTTTTAAAAAGCTGTTTAAAAAAGGTATAGCTATTATTGTAATCTGTTTTGTCTTCATAAAACAAACACGTAATGAAGGGAGAAGACATTCTTAGTAAGTTTTCAACTAAGCATGGCAATTGCTTCCTAATTCCCACCCTCTCAATCTTCCCTAAGAGCTTCAGTTCTCCTGGGAACTCACCCAACAGGGATCAGATGGGCAAGTCTATTGAAAACTCAGAAGCCTTGCCACAGAGACCTGTAGAGAGAATCTCTTTTGTCTATATGGAAGTGGCACCTGCCAATAATAAGTCTGGTGGCCTATAGTTTAGGCAGAAAATAGTAGGTGGGACATCCAGGAAGCAGAAAGGATTCTGGGATAGTGCCAGGCTCAGGAGATTTGCCCAGGAGTGATGAGACAGACATCTGAGCATAGGTAACCAGCCCCGTGGCAGAATGTAGGCTAGAGTAAATGGGTTATAATGATCTAATCAGAGAAGAGCCTAGGTATATGGCCAATTTGTAAATGTGTTTTGAGTCTGAATCTCATTTCTGGGAGCATGGAACTGAGAGGAAGAACCACCTAACTTCTACAGAGGCCACAGCCAAGACACCTATCTATGCTAGGGGGAGTCACTCCATAAATGAGATGTCAATGGGACCTAGGTAAGAGGGCAAGGGCATGCAGAAGGCATAGATAGGGAAGCCCACAGAGTCATGAGTGAATGGGCATAAGTGACCTCAGAGTGACTGTGGAATCTCTAAACCCAAAGGTAGAATACAATGACAGTTACCAGCATGGTGTTTCCAGCTGGCACGCCCACTTGGTTTCCACAGGAGCACTGGGATTCCTAGTCAACTTTGCTCACATGACCTTCAAGAGTGCCTTAACAAGCAGCAAGCAGATCCCTTGGGGGCATACTTCAAAAGCAAACAGAATAGGAGAGACCTCAAAAAGGCACTCATTTCAAGGAAAAACTGAAAAGCCCAGGCTGTTCTTAAGTATCTGTGCAGCTTTAGCGGGCCTCAAGTTATGCCCTGTCTATTTGGCATGCTTTGTATTTCCTGGACTCACTCTAACCCACCCAGCATCCAGGGTAGGAGACCACCAGCTGCAGAGTCTGGAAGTCTGGTGTCACCTGCTGCCTTGGGGTCAAATGAGGCTGGGGAGGGAAGAGGTGCTAAAGAAGGCATTAAAGGACAGAATGGTATCTCTCCTTTATATAACCAGTAACTCGGCTGTTTACAGCACACATTCCATTCAAAACCTGGGTCTCCCCCAACCATCCCCCTATGGGCCTGATCAAGTTCACCTCTATTATACCTGCCTCTCCTTTGGTGAGACCCCAGCAACACAGTACTGGCAGTGCTCAGAACAAAGCATGTGGCCAGTGACTGATAAATACATTAAGTGCTGAGACCATGAAGTCCGGACAAAGTACTCCCTACTCAATGGTCAGGGATGATGTGTCTCCTCGCCAATCCTTCTGTCTATAGCTACAAACTCGTTTTAACATCAAAATACGTGATAAGTAATCCACCTCATAGCAACAAGGGAAGACACAACCAAGGCCACGAAGTAAAAGGCTAAGATGTGTGAAATGAATTCTACTCTACAGTCTGCATTCCTAAGCCCCCAGACAAGGCCACTAGCTTCCACTCCTCCCCTTCAGGAGAGAGCTTACCCAGCGATCTCTGACCATCAGTGGCAAGATCTCAATTTGATTCTGTCGTTAAGTCGGTGCTGGGGAGGTAACTCAGCTAACAGAGTTCTTGCAATGCAAGCAAGAGAACCTGAGTTCAGCCCCCAGACCCTATGTAAAGATGCCAGTTGTGTCAGCACTGGGAGGATGGAGACTGGTGGGTCCCTGGGGTGGGTCCCTGGTCAGCAAGCCTAGTATAATGGCTAAGTTCTCTACTAGTGGGAGACCCTGTCTCAATAAGTAACATGGACAGTATTCTGAGCGTTGATAGGACTCTCATAAAAAGGCATCATTTGTACACACACACACACACACACACACACACACACACGGAATAAAACTTCCCAGAGAGTGCTGCCTGTGAAATGAGTGAAGTTTCAGTAAACATGGAGGGTGGGACAGACGTGCTCTGGTTGTCACTAACACAATCAGGAGCCTTAGGTCCTGCCACACAGCCCACCGCATATGCACTGCAAACCCTGGATTCACGGGCAGCTTATGGAGTTGCTCAACAGATGCTACCTGAGCCAGCAAAGGGTATACAGCACTACTTGGAGGGTTTACATGCCAAGGTTTTGTTATTTTTGTTTTGCAGACCACTCCCAGACCTACTTACCAACTGAGGAGCCTGTGGCCAGCTTGAGATTAACAGCAGGCCTGCAACCTCAGGCCTTCCTCACAAGCTAGCCTTGCTACCCCACCTGGCCCCATCCTCAACTGCCCCTCAACTCCCAAGCCCCCATCCTATTTTTCTTGTCATTCTCTTTCTTCAGGTGTGCACTTGCTTCCCCACGGTCTAGCTCTTTCCTGTAGACTTTGCTCTCTCCCTTTGCCACGCCCCCTGCCCCGCCTCCTCTCACCTTCCTCCCGAGGACACATACACATATTTTTCAGACAATTCAGCCTTTACTTTATTTTTGAAAATAATTCTGTAGATTCCATCTTCTTCCATGAAACTAAGGTCAGGCAACAAACAAAGACACACAGACTTCTCTCCAGCCTGCTGCCTGCATCTTGGCCTGGGAAGATGTGGGGATGCTTGGGAAGGCAGAGGACAGGAGCCGGCTCAGGACCACGGATGGCCTGTTCTCAGCTGCTGGTGTCTTTGCTGAGACAGCCACCAGGAGCAAGGCCTCAGAGAGGAACCTCTGCACCAAACCCCTGGGGAAAAGAGGCATGGAGCCACTGTCTTCCACTAGGCTGGCCCTGAATCCTCCTAAAGAATGTGGAGGAAACTAACCTTCAGAAGGGAGTGGGGCCACGGGCAAGAAGGGGGGTGCCCAAGCACAGGCTTTCTGCCTGCCACTCCTGACAATGGCTCCCCCACTGGAAAGGCTTGCTTTCGTTCCTCCTTCCGTCTTACAGCACCACACTGCTCTGCTGCAGGACAAGAGCAAAGTCAGCAGAAAAGAAGCCAGAGGCGGTGACCCCGGCAGCCCAGCAATCCAGCCTGACGCTGACAGTGAACCCCTTTGGTTAGTCTCATTTGGCCACAAATCCATTCCTTCTTCCATAATCCAGCCCCACACTCAGGGAAGGTGGAGAAAGGGGGACAGGTACATAAAGTGGACTCCTGTACTGACAGGAGTCAGCTTAGGGTTGAGAGGCCTGGTCAGGAGAGAGAGCTAGAGCTGCCAAGCTCTCCGCAGAGGCCCCTGGAGAGAACTCAGGCCACTACAAGCCTGGCTCCAACAGGCCCAACCCTCCCCATACCACACAGTGGTTTCTTGTTCAATACACCCTGAACATACCACACAATACTCCTTTGACAACAGGAGTATAACCCTCATCCTATGATGTGTGCACTAGAATGCCACTTGGGGGATAGCCAGGACAGAAGGGAAGATCTACAGATCCAAGAGAGAGGACACTGGCAGGATGGTATAGCCCAGGGCCTGCAGGCCTGCCCCAGCTCATCACACAGCAAGGAGACCCAGGAGGGAAGGCAGGTGCTGCTAATTCCAGCTAGGATCATAGCCATTCCACGTCTGTGGGGGTGCCAGGTGGACACGCCGGCCCCGGAACTGGAAAGTGACAATGCCACGGTAGCCAGCCCTGGGGACACCAGACTTGAGGTCATCCATGACACCCAGGGCCTTAGCAAAGGCCTTGAAGCTGTCTCTGGTAGTGTACTGTACCCGCACCTCCCCCAGCTCCTTCCGGTCATTGGTCCTCACTCTCTCCACCTGCAGCTGGGGGGCACCATAGACCTGGGCAAGGAAGTCCCGGTCATAGGCCTCCTGCTGCAGGTACGACAGGTCCAACTGGGTGAAGGGCACGAACTGCTGGTTCAGCTTGATGAACTTCAGGTGCTGGTCAAAGAACTGTCCATGGCTCACACCCTTGCGACCAAAGGTCATAGTTCTTGAAATTTCTGGACGAATACAAGCCCGTCCCTTCCGCTGCTCAGGTCTGCGCATCCAGTCATCCCAGAAGGCCTTGGGCCACTTGGGCTCCAGCTCTGCCCACAGATCAGCCAACAGCAGCCATCCAAGGCCAGGAAAAAAATCTGTTCGATAGAGCAGCTCAGGTTTGTTCGAGTCGACCATCTGCTCCTTGCCATTGTCATTCCAAGCAGACACACACCAAAGGGAGGGGTCTGTTCTCAGCAGTGGGTAGGTGGCCTGGAAGTACTCAAAGAAGTCTGGTGCCACTTCCAGATCATCCTCCACTACCACAGCGGCCGGGAACTTGAACTTGTTGAAGATCTGGCCTAGTGCCCAGCGGTAGTGCCTGGCAATCTTGTAGTAACCCTGGAACTTGCGGTGGTCTGGCTGCACGGCAATGTTACTCAGGTCCGGCTGTCGGATGTGAGTGACTGCAGTGCCATAGGAAGCAATGACCTGTGCTGTCTCTTCGTGCCCACAGTCCTGACTGACAATAATGGGGAAACGCTCAGCTGAGGGCCGATAGTGCAACAACTTATCCAAGCAGCGCCGGACAGTGCTGCGGTCACAGGCAATGACCAGGATAGGGATCACAGCTGGTGAAGGGGTCACAGGCACATGGTGCCAGGCTGGAGGGGCCACACTGGGAACTCTCCACTTCTGCCTCCACAAAGCATAATGCTCCTTGATTTGCTGCAACAGTCCCCGCTGCCGCTCCAACTCCGCCTCAGCGTCCTCAGCCAGGTGGATGACCTCACGGGTGAGGCTGGCAGGGTCATCACCAAGGGCATTGTCTGAGGGCAGCCTGCCAGGTGCTGGGCGTGTCCAAAAGAAAAGAAGCAGCAGGGCATTCCAGCCCACAAAGATGATAGCACCCCAAAGCACAAGCCCTGCAGACTGCTTCTTCAGCATCCTGGCCCCCGCAGGGGAGGACAGGCAGGGGAAGGGCTCAAGGCTGCCTTTGGCTTGCCTGGCTCAGTTCCCCACAGTCTAAGGGTTTATTCTTCTAGGCTGAGAGTAGGAAGAAGCCATGTACCTAAAGAGGAGAGAGAGAAAACCAATTGTTACCTCAAGTTTGTACAATTTCACAGAGCACTGGGGAGAGGCGGGGCACAGGTGAGAGACTGAGGAAAGAGGAGAGAGGGTGGCTGACTGCAGGATCAAGTTGACATGTTCCTTCCACCGCTTCAAAATGAGCTAATGAGTCCTCAGAAAAGCAATGTGACTTTGACAAGGAGGCAGAGAATGATGTTTGTGGAATAGAGCTGAAAAATAATAAAACAAAATGGAAAACTCCAACTCCTGGTTCCCTACCACAGATTTCATTTCTTGTCTTTCATCCAGTCTAGTTTAGAAGGAGTGAGAGGTAAAACCATTTGACCCCCATTCCTCAAGTTAAATTGCACTAAAATTACTGATTTTTTAAAAAGCAAATGTTATAACAGGCTTAGTAAGGAACACAATGAGAAAACATCTGTCTCTCTGTGTCTAGGTCACTTTGTTTGATACAATGATGTCAGAAGTAAAGCTAGGCTGCCTACACCACTCATGCTTAGAGAGGCACTACCCACAATATCCAAGTTATATAATCAGCCCCGGTGTCGGTGACAGATTAACAGATACACAAGTGTGGCTTAGATACACAATGGAGCAGTATCAGCCAGAAAGAACACAATCCTGTCAAAAGAACTGAAGGGCATCGTGTTAAGCAAAAGCCAAACATGCACATTTTCTCTTACTGTGGTAACAAATAACAGCCTCAAAGTAGAGGAGAGGCCAGGTGTGGTGATGCACCCCTTTAATTCCAGTACTTGGGAAGAGGAGGCAAGCAGATCTCTGAGTCTAAGGCTAGCCTGGTCTACAGAACAAGTTCTACAACAGCCAGGGCTACACAGAGAAACCATGCATTGAAAAACCAAGGCGGCGGGGGGGGGGGGGGGGGGGAATAGAAAAGATCTAGATCATTAGGGAAGGAAAAGGACCCCACGGTTCAGGAAGGAATGAGAAGGGGGACTAGAGAGGGTGAGTACAACCAAAGCAAGATACATGCATCTGTGTGATAGTAATACATTAATTTTAAAAGCCACGATGCCCACAGTCTCAATGGTTTTTAATTAGCCAATACAAGTAGACTAAATGAAACAACTGAAGGCTGAAGTAAAACTATCTGTTTGCTGATATTGTGAGGGTTTCTACAGTTATAGTGCAATCAATAGTAAAAACAACTAACATACTTATATCCATGATAATAACTAGAAGTAATGGACATTAAAAAGAATCCTATTGAAAAGCCAGGAAAACAAAATATTTAAAAATAAACTTAAGCATTCAAAAACTTGTATGAAACAAAATTAAAATTTCTGAAAAACACTTCAACATATCTTTCCTTGATTAAACCATACTGGACCATCAAAACCCTCAATAAAAACGCTTTTTTACAGAGATCTCTGTAAGTTTGAGGCCAGCTTTATCTACAGACTGAGTTTCAGTACAGCCAGGGCTACACAGACAGAGAAACCCTGCCTTGAACAAAAACCAAAAAGCACAAAAGCTTTTGCATGGAGCTACAAAAAAAAAAAAAGGTCACCAGAACTCTCCAGAAGAAGCAAGCACATCAGAACATGTAGGAAAACAGTGATGATGAGTGGTGAAGAGGGACCTGCTCAAGGAGGTGTCAAAGCAGTGTCCACTCAAGGCTGGCGACTGGGTGGTTATGAATAAGCAGACTACTCAATGACTAGAACAGGGCTGGAATTACCGTACAGGCATGTGAGAAAATGTAAGATTATATCAACATACAAGAATAATTTCCAAGTGCACCACAATTTTAAAACAATAAAAACAAAATAAAACAAAGAGACAACAAAAGTAAAAGGGAGGAAGAAACATGGCAGCACAGAAAGGCTTTCTAATTATGACTCAAAATCTTGCTATAACAAAAGAGCCCTTTCCTTACTTGAAAGGCTGTCATGTGGATAGAAATAGCACAAGGAAGCCAAAGAGCAAACTGAGTACTTCTGCAGCATCAGCCATAGATACACAATACCACACTAGGGGGAAATTTCAAATAACAGAGGAAAAAGAAGTACAAAAAAAAAAAAAAAAACCTATAGAAAATGAGCCAGTACCAATAACTTGGAAGAACACCTACAGTCCTCAAACATCAAAAACTGTTCAACTTCAATCAAAGCACAATTGCAAATTAAAACTAGCTTGAGATGATGTTACTCATGAGACTGCCAAAAATAAAAATAAAAGAGAAAACCTGACTTAGTCTCTTGGTGACTGCTGAAGAGCCTAAGTTCTCAATTTGGGGCTGGAGGAAATCAGTGAACTTTGGGGTGGGTGGATATATTCACTGTCTTGATTACAGTGATAATTTAATGCGTGTATACATATATCAAAATAAAATGCCTTTTAAATGCATGTGTTTACTGTGTGTCAATTACACTCCAATAAACCTCTGCTTACAGAAAAGACGCTAAAGGGCTGGAGAGACGACTCAGTGGTTAAGAACGCTTGTTGCTCTTGAAGACCAGAGTTCAGATCCCAGCACTCATAAGGTAGCTCACAATCATCTACAACTCCAGTTCCGGGGGATTTGACACCTTCTAACCTTCAAAGGCATCAGGAATGCATACATACAAATAGGCAAAACACTCATACACATAATATAGAAAAAATAAATCTAAAAAAATTTTAGGTCACAAATCATAAAGTAAAATTAGATGCAGATAGTAGGTTAAAGTATATATAGTAGCTGATAGCCATTGAAGTGTGTAAGAGAGAACATCCCAATTCTCAGGGAATACACACTGAAATATTTAGAAAGATGCCCTCAAGTAGTTCACAACAAAAATGACCATAGCTACACAGACTGAATGGAGCAGGTGAACTTGAATAACATCGGTATGTCACTCTGAAGGGCGGGCCATCTGTATTCCTGAAACTTTTTTTTTCCAAATAAAGTTTCTTAAAAAATAAAATAAGGCAACATGGAGTCTATCTCTGAGTAATGTCATCCATTAGCACTGCCCCAGCTGGGCACATGCAGTAAGGGAAGCAGAGACAAGCAGGTTTACTTGGAACCCCTCAATCACAGACCTGCACCTGCCAGGCTCTTGGGAGGGCTAGGACACAAGAATAAGCCTTGCTCTACACTTACCCAATTCTCTATCTTAGCTAAAACCTTGAATCCCAGATCTCTTCTCTGCAGCCCTCTGATCTGTCTTTCCAAGCCCTTTCTTGACCCCACCATTGGTCTTCCTCCTAAAACCAAGTACCCCCACAATTCCAGAACACCATATTGCAGAAACCTGGGGCCATTTCCACTCAGCTGTGTCATTACACTACTTTCTTGGGCGAGCTGAAAGATGTACCAGTTGACAGTTCTCTTTTAATCCCGTTCAGAATGTGGTCAATGTTGAAACGTTCCCTGAATTCCAATGGCCAGGATTTCAGGGTAGTCCCCAACTTCCTGCTTCCTAAATAGGTGACCAAGTAGGAAAAAGTCTTTAAAACAAAAGGATGGGAGAAAGACAAAGAACAGCAAAAAGAATTACCTTAAATGCTGCCTTCTGGGAGTGTCCTTGACTTGTCACTTTAGGTCTACCTGCAAGTTCTCAGATGGTGCCAAATCCCCAAGAAATCGCCTACCTACCCTTCAAGTGACTTTACTTTCAAATGACTTTTCCTTTTCTCTCGATGTTGAACTAGGTGCAATGCATCCACTAGCGTACAGATCAAAGCAAGCCTGGATTGCCTGTTGGCAGGATTTTTAGCAAGTCTACAACCATTTAGAGTGGCTGGATGGCTCATAGAAAATCCTCTCTCAGGCTTAGACTCTTCCTACCCTCCTCCTCAGCCCTTCTCTATGAACTCTCTAACAATACTTGATTCTTCTGCCACGAGAATGCACAATTGCCCTGCTGAAGCCCTAGCTGCCTCTCCACACAGGCTAAGATTCCCTGTGTCATGTTCCTGCATATTCTTCAGGGCGAGATGTTCATCCATGTCTGGATGTTAGTAGAGTATGAACACACACTGACTTCGAGTGACGCTCTCTACAGCAGATGCCATGTCTACAGGTGTGATCCTTGGCTGGCGGGGTGGAAGCTTCTCCAGGGAACATGCTCAGAGTCAGAGTCCCCTCGGGCACCATATGAAGTTTGGTACAGATTTTAAAATAATAGTAATATAATAATAATAATAAATAGGAAGCAGCAGCAGCAGCAGCAAAGCCAGATACCCAAGAGGCAATGCCTGGCATCAGCCTGTGTTTTCCTACATCTGTAAGACTCAATTTTCTCACCTCTAAGATGGAAAGAATAATTGAATACCTCAGCAAGTTGTTTTAAGGATTGGATGGGATATTCCACAGCATATTTAGAACAGCACCCACTATATAACAAAATAAATGCCAAGATATTCTTTCTTGATGCCTTCAGATCATAATAGTGCACCTCCCCACCCATCACCATCAACACCAGTGAAACCAGCAAAAGACAACACAAGGTTAGATCAGCACCACACACTGCCAAGGTACAAACTTCAACATTTAGATGTACCTGCCGCCTAAACAGTGTCCTCAGTGTGGGTGCCACACACATGTACAATCTCCCCACTGTCATTTTCAATCCAAAACGCACTGAAAAAAGTTTTCAATACCCCTTTGATAATCAAATCTTTTTTTCTTTTTTTTTGGTTTTTTGAGACAGGGTTTCTCTGTGTACCCCTGGCTGTCCTGGAACTCACTCTGTAGACCAGGCTGGCCTCAAACTCAGAGATCCGCCTGCCTCTGCCTCCCAAGTGCTGGGATTAAAGGCGTGCACCACCACCGCCCAGCTTGATAATCAAATCTTATCGCACCTCATTTGATAGCATCTGATCTAGTTAAATGTGAGGCTATTGATCTTCTCCATTCCACTTGAGTGTCTATTCACATTTTGCTACAGAAATAAAGATGGTGGATCAGGGTGCATTGTTCTGTTTTATAACAGAGTACGTACACCAGATCAATTTTTTTCTTTGAGAATT